TCAATTTAGCATACATACAAACCATATATTAACTATTAAAATCTAGGTGAGTCTTGACCACTCTAGTAGGTTTAGGTCGCAGATAACTAATTTGGCGATAGCTGAGTTTTTAGTCTGAGCTCTCATTCTTGCATATAGTTTATATAAACTTTGTTTTCATACAAATTAAGTTGTTACCATGTAATTACTTGTATAAACTAATTAATAAAGATATAAGCAAAGCCTCACCTTAACACCAAAAAAAAAAAATTAAAAAGTAAGTAGAGGATAAATAGATTATTTACTTGATTTTTCTGCTTTCTACTCATGTATATTTATCGACCTTGAAGGTATTCACAGAAATATTTTTTGGTTTTTTTCCATTCATAGTCACAAACTCTAATCCGCAAGAGACAATACAAGCTCTTGCCAATGCTTTAGACAAGTTTCGAAGTAGTTAGCCCTTCCTGGTAACACTGGTAGTTGCAGTTTTCTAAAAAAAAAAAAATTTTTATATTTATAAGTAATGAAAAATCATCATTTACTTACATAAGCATGATATCATAAAAGTTCGCCGGTGGCATAATTTTTTTAGGGCAGTAATCTGAATCACACATAGTTATTACTGTGCTTTTGACAATAAGAAGATTCCAATTCAAGGAATCTTGAAAGAATTATTCAAAAAATAGCTCTGAAAACTTCTAAATAAGCTCACACATCCTGTTTTTAACTTATTATGTGATGATAAATTTTTAACCCAAAGAAACTTGGCCTCTACCCATTGCTTCTGCTTCATTCGGTCAAAAACTTTGAGAAGAAAATGTGTGCATAAAGTGGGGTCAGCTATGAAAAAGTTGTAGCTTGACTATAGATATTTGCCAAGTAAAAGTGCTCTGGATAAGTGTGAGGCTTGTATCCACTGGACATGTAGAAGTTAAGTGTAGCTCGCCTTTCTTTCCTCCATATAGCATTGTATAAACAATGACATTTCTATGAGAATCCTTAGATAACTATAAAAATATAATTTGCTAATTAAAAAAAAATAAAAAATATATATATATATATATATATTTTTTTTTTTTTTTAATGTTTAAGGTGAGGCCATGCTCTTATCTTTATTAAACTTAATGAAAACTTTTTACATGATTGGAAAAGGTTTTGTGTTTTAAGTCTAGTGCTAAGAATAAGAACTCAGACATATAACTAAGGACCTAGAAAGGTTAGCCTAAATCTTATCTGCGACCTAAACCTAATATATATATATATATATATTATATATATAGTAATATTATCTTCATTTTTTTTCTTTACTTGTTCATCGGTATATCCAATTATATCAGCTAATTGAACCATATGTTGATTCATATTACTGCTTTCGAAAGTGACGTCTACAATAACCTTGCCCTCATCAATAACTTCAACAATTTGCACATTATAGTAAGGATCATCCAAAATTGTATCCCGAAGATGAACTTGCTCCCCTGGTACTAATCTATTTTTTCTTTTATTTTTAGGACCTCTTTTTTGAGATAAACTAAGTTCATTTTTATTATAACCATTATCATCCTTTTGATGAAGATAAGACTCAAGAGAGCTGCTTGCAACTGATTCTACAACAGATCTGTATGGAAAAAAATAATAATAAATTAATCAGTTTAATTTCTAACTTATTAATTTAAAATTCCTTATTCTTGAGCATAATATTTAATTAAATTGTGTTTATAAACTTTTAAATACAGGATCGAATAATGAATTATAAAATATCCTGCTCACTTCACTAATAGCCATTTCACCGAAAGTTTATTTAGCTGACATCATATAAGGTTAGGATTAGTTAGCGTTTAATTAATTGTCATACTTTTAATAAATCATGTTGTTAGCTAAATGAGCTTTCGGCAAACCAACAGTGAAGTAAGGCGAATTCCATATATCCTTGTATTACTAATAATTGGTAATTATACACCATAACTGAAAATAATAAGTTTATTTTTTACCTTTCTAGCTTTGATTTAATATTAGAAGAACTACAAAAGAAAGTTAGAAAATATCACCATAAAAAAAAAAGTGCTGCTCACTTTATCAATAATCATTTTACTGAAAGTTTATTTAGCCAATATCACCTAGGGTTAGGATTAGCAATCGATTAACTGCAGATATATTTTTGTAAATTGTCACTTAGTGTGATGTCGGCTATGAGCTGTCAGTGAAATGACTGTTGGTGAGTAAGGTAGATCCAAAAAAAAAAAAATTAATAATACTTTTTTATTTTCAACTCACCAATAAAGAAACGGACAGCTACAATATCCTGATAATCATGTCTGCGGATTACATTGAAACTGCATAGACAAGTGAATGTTCCACTTCTACATGTAACTTGTAATGTTTTTTCTTGTTACTGTTTCAAATGATGTTCATCAAATAAGTCAGGTGTTTTAGAGTTTTCTTTGTCAGAATCATCATCATCCGATTCAGCAACAACATATTGGATATCAATATCCATACTGAAATGGGACAAAATCCAAGTATCTTGGTCAACTTCTAAAATTTAAAGGGTTAATAATTGTGAACATAAAAACACACTAATAAGAGGATATAATAAACTTTTTCTATGTTGAATTACAATTCTTAATATGATAGTAAGAATTTTCAATATAAGAAGTTCAAAATACTAAACCTATAGTAAACTTAAAATTAGAGTGGGTTTGATATATAAATGTTGAATAAAATATCATTCGTATTTACCTTTAACGAGATTTCTCTTATATAATAGTTCTTCTTTTATG